TTCCAAGGGCATAAGACTCACCAGTGTCCCCACTGTGACCACAAGAGCACCAACTCCAGTGACCTGAAGCGACACATCATTTCAGTGCACACCAAGGATTTTCCCCACAAGTGTGAGGTGTGTGAGAAAGGCTTCCACCGGCCCTCGGAGCTCAAAAAGCATAGCGAGACCCATAAAGGGAAAAAGATCCACCAGTGTAGGCACTGTGACTTTAAAACCTCCGACCCTTTTGTGCTCAGTGGGCACATCCTCTCCGTTCACACCAAGGACCTGCCTTTTAAATGCAAAAGGTGTAAAAGGGGCTTCAGGCAGCAGAACGAACTGAAGAAGCACATGAAGACCCACAGTGGCAGGAAGGTGTACCAGTGCCAGTACTGTGAGTACAGCACCACGGACGCGTCGGGCTTTAAGCGCCACGTCATCTCCATCCACACCAAAGACTACCCCCACAGGTGTGAGTTCTGCAAAAAGGGCTTCCGCAGGCCCTCCGAGAAAAATCAGCACATAATGAGGCACCACAAAGAGGCCATAATGTGATAGGTGAGCTCCAGAAGGAAGCGATGTAGAAACTGTGATATGCTAATTGGGGAAAAAAATAAATCTCACGAACTGTTTCTCCTGGTTTCAAAGCTTGATATTAAACCATAACTTTACATTCTTTGTATTAAAAGTCTTAAAAAGTATTAGGGTTGCCAGGGGATCTCATAGCCCTATGATTGTTGCTGATCAGAACCTAAAGAGCACTAGAGAATGCAGAGGATGGATGAATGTCTTAAATTTGCAGAAGGATGGATGAATGTCTCCAAGTGAACAGTATTTGCCATTGCTGAGTCTAGAGGACAGGGCAGAGCTGATTGTGTGACCCATTCTGTCAGTCCCAACGTGTGTCTCCAGTATGGAAACAGATCCCTGGTGAGGTGAGCTACAGAGGGTTTGCAAAGGAGCCCCTCTTCACTTCTTGTGCAGTTTGGAACGGGGAGTTTTAGTCAGACACTTCATCACAATGTTTTCAATTGTGCCTAGAAATTGAATTCCAGAACTGATAAAATTTGGTGGGGGGTGTCCCGTGTTTGGTTTGGTTTGTTTTTTTTTTTTTAAACATTTCATAGGGAAACTTTTTGGTTTCCTTTATTAGTTTAAGTCCAAGAAGCATTTTTTTTACTGGTTTTCAAAGCTGCTAACCTATTTCATTGCAGGATATGATGTTTAAAATAGAGCATTATGTTATGGTCTCAGAGGTGGTGTTCTGGTGCTAGGGTTAAAGATGTATATGTATATAATTTCCCTTTTTTATCTGAAACTACAGTTGAATGTTGTTCAGTATGGCACATATAACAAAATTAACTTTGAATTTGACTTTTTTTTTAAAGGATAAAAATGGATGCAGCTCATAGTGTTGTGACTCAACACTAATTCTTTTCCTCGCTACTTTAAAGTCTTCTCTAAAAAGAATATTAAAAACAGTTGAAAACTGTAGGGGTTTTTTAATTAAAATTCAAAGTACTTAGAAGTTCTTTAGGGCAGTATTCTTAACAGGTATGACAGTTACTGTCCTACCTCCTAATAGGAAATTTTCCATATAGACGTAAAATTGCACCTTTTAATCGATTCTTTTAAAAAAAGATCTATACCATGCTATAAACATGCATTTTCAATCTGTAAGAAAGTATATATGCAGTATTTAACCAGAAAAACCTGCTGCCACTAGAGTTTGGAGGTGGATCTTGAGTTTACAGTGTATACATTTAAAATATGCATCCCTTTAAAAATGCTTTGTGTTAGCATGCTGCAAATCCAATGGCGCTTATATAACGAGCTGGTCTAGGGCTATTTAAAAAAACCTGGTCATAAATGTTATGCATATAATGTGTATTTTTTACTTTTTTTAGTTGCTTCATGTTTGCACACAGCTGTTCACATGAGAAATTGTAACTTCATGCTATATTGTGGCTTTGTGTTCCAGATAATGTTCATATTTTGTTTTTGCACCAGATGAGAATCAGTTCCTTGAGAATAAATTTTTTTTATATTTCTAAACTTCAGAAAGTTAAAATTTGGGAAATCTCTTAGACAAATAAGTGTTTTATGTGGCTGTAAAAAATGATGTACACGCTGTAAAATAAGATTGTCACTGTTCTGTGGGATTATTATTTCTAAATGTGTTACTCATCGTAACGGGCATACAATAAAATGCATCTCTTGCACTCCAGATTTTTTCAAGGTTCCTTTTCATTTTTGGTGTTTAGGAAAGTGCCATTCTCTGTAAATTCGCCTGATATTTTTAATTGCATTATTCACTAATTAATATATAATCACATTTCAAGTAAACAGGTTACTGCAGGTCTATTTATCAGACTGTTGAGGAGAGAACATTGGGTTTGATTTAACCTTTTAGACTCACAGGTAATGTATTTGTGTCTGTTTTGCTTATTTCTAAAATAATTATCAAATCTGATACTGACATTGCTTTGAAATTTTTTTTTTCCTTTAAGAAAACAAAAAACTTCTCACATATTTTAGGAAAAACAAGGTAGGTTTTTGTCTTTTTACCTGTGTAATAACAGCTTGCTGAATGAAATGCTAAAAACACTGCTATCCTAAATTCCCTCTCTTTTTAGAATATTTGAATTGCAACATCAATAACAGATTAAAAAGCTGAAGAAGAACATGTGCTATTAAATGAACCTTTCATCGAGGATTTCCATTGGGCTTTGAGCCACTGAACTCATAGGTTTTGCACAAAGAGCAGAAATTAATTCATCTGGGTTTTGGTGCTGCTTTTTCTTGCATGCCCAGCAGTCAAAAGGGAAAAAAATCTTAGTGATTTAAGTCTGTGGATTTTTGACAATGTCAGTGCTTTGTTCCTGAATGTTGTGTTGAATACATGGACCGAAGGAGTTTCTTCACCTGAAGATAATCCCTGACTGCCCATGGCTGTGCTGGCTCATTTTTCCACCCTACAGATGGACCAAATAATCAGGTAATTAATTGTTCTGTATCAAAGCAGGAGGTAGGTTGCTGTTCTTGACATAAGATTTTACTGGGAAGTGGTGTTTTAAATCTTCTGAAATTGAAGGATGAAATGCCAGCTGAGTCCTCAGCAGTTTGAGGGACAGTTCCCAAATCCTTCTCAGTGCCCTCTCCCAGTAAATATTTGAGAGCTGTGACAGGTCAGGGGTGCTTGAGCAAGCAGAGCCTCACAAAGGTGTGCAGGGCTGGCTCTGAAATGTCAGATCTGTTTGGTCTGGTTTTTTTTTGGGCTGACAGGTGCAGTTAAAAGTGATTCACATCCTGATCATCAGCTATGTTTTTCTTTCCTCAGGTTTCAACTGCCCACAATTAAAGGCAATAAATCAGAGAGAAAACACGGAAGAGCTGCAGCAGAACTCTGGAGGTAAAGGTGAGGTACTGGGTGTGGGCTGGTGGCTGCTGGAGTTGTCAGGGACTTCCCAGCCAAGGCTCTCTGGCTTTTATTTTACAACTTCAATACTGCAGAAAGGTCAGTCAGAACAAAGACAGTTTTCTCCTTTTCAGTGCAAAACAAGACTTGCATTCTGGCAGATAAAGACAGGGCAGAATGTATGTTGTTGTAATTATATAAAGTAAATAGCACCTGATTGTTTTCTAATTTGTTCCTAGAAAACATGTAGAGGTTTTGGTGAACCTATTAAAATGGGAAATGAGCTAAAGTAAAATCTTCTAACCAGCATTTAGAGAGCTGAGTAAATGAGAAAATGTTTTTTTGTAAATTCCAGCAGAAACCACATTAGGTAAATCAGTTCCAGTTCCACAGAAAAAGGGGGACAGCTGAGCCCACAGTAACAGGTACTGCATAGTAAAAAATACTACATTTGTTTTTAAATACGTACAGTTTGAAAACAAGACCAGCCTATAAATAAATGGCCATATGCTTTATCTACTAGTCGTATCCAGCTTTTTGACAATTGCTTTGTTTTGTTAGTACAAAGTGTGGTTACAGCCTCTGCTCTGTAGCATTTACAGGGTCTGGTGACCTTCAGATTCCCTGAGGAGCTGTCCTCGTCCCCAGGACAGAGAGCTGGCTGGCCTGAGCAGAACCTGGGCTCTTTGTAAGCAGGCTGCAGCTTTCCTGGCTGTCCCAGGACGGTGTTTCCACTGGGCTGGATCACTGGATTTGAAAAGAGCATTTGCCTGATGGTGGCTTTGCCATGGAATTGTCTCACCACACTCAGCAGCTCCTGGTCTGAGCCCTGTCCCTCCTCAAGGAGATCCTGTGCTGTGCCAGGGAGTGGAGGAAACACAGGTTGGTGTCACTGAGGGGCTGCTCAGGAAATCCGTGGCTGGATGAGCCATCAGGAGCTGTGGCCAGTACTAACTCCCATTTCTGCTCTTTGTAGCTTCGTCTGAGCTGTGGGAAACCCTCAGCCCTGGTGGGAGCACAAGGAGCACCTGCACAGGTAACTGCTGGCATTGAACAGACATGGTGCTGTTACTCCTTTTGGTGTTTAAAATCACCAAAGCTGAAAAGTCTTTTGCTGACAGTGTAACTAAAATTATTTATTGCACTGCCACTGTCCCATGGCAGGAGCATGTTAGCTCTGAGTGCAGATGTACCTTTTATTCACTGCTCTGCAGAAAAGGGGGTTGCTTCAGAATCTGTTTTAGAATAATTACTGAATGCAGAGGGGTGCACTCTGCCTTCAAGTTAGGGTATTTAACTAATTAAAGCCAGGCTGAAGGGGGGACCTGGCTGGTGAAACTGCAGGCCCATCTCAGCCTGAACACACTCAAAGATCTGCAGCAGGAACAGGTTTTACTTGGAGCTCTTTGCCCAGTCCCAAAGAGCACGAGGCCAGCTGGACATCCAGCATCACCTGAGGGAGTTCTGGCAGCAGCAGCCAGAAAAGGGAGCCAGCCCCAATCCTTCACTTGTAAAGATTCATGGAGAGGAACAAGACACCACCTACATCCCCCCCACCTCCAGCTGTACACAAACTGTTTCCAGGACAGACAGACAGTGATCCAGAGAGTTAGACTTGGGTTTATTTCATGGTTACAGGTAGCCTCCAGCATTCTTTCCCCATTAAACATTGCCCAGGGTCTATCTGGGACCAGAAATACATGGCTGCAGCAGGAAAGCAAAGCAAGAACCCCACCATAAAAGAGCACCTTTGGATTGCAGCGTTGCAAACTTTCCCTGTGAGTCTCTGTGCTGTGTTGCTCAGACAACTACTGAATCATGAACACCAAATCAGTTTGAAAGAATTTCTGTGGTCCTTCAAGGAGTGGAAATTGTAAATGGCAGGTTGCTCTGATAAGAAAATTAGTCCATGACTTATTTTCACACAAAATTCTTCTATATAAAAATATACCAAGTTCTTGAAAATTTAAAGCACAGCAAATAAATACAGCTGGTTTGGGGCTGAAAATACACAAACTCTGAGGTCAGAAGCATTCTCTAAAATGAGCCTTGGCCCAGCCCTTCAGTGAACTGGGTCCTGCTGGCATTTGCCAGGTCAGAAGCTGGGTTTGATGTAAGTTTTGTCCTTGGTGTCCGAGCTTCCCAGACAGAGGCAGGTGCAAGGTAAGGAGCAGTTTCCAGTGAGGTATTTTTGAAGTTCCCATGGCAGCTCGTGACTCTGCACTGAAAGCAGCTGTGGGAGGGGTGGGACTGACATCAGGGTCATTCCCACTCTCAGCATGAAGAGACAGAACATGGCTACAGGGATGAAGAGGAAAAGGTTTCAGGTGTCTTCTTTTTGTCTCCTAGATTTCCTCAGGACTGGCTGAAGAACAGGAGTTAGTCAAGAACAGCTGAAGTTCACAGAGGGATAGCATCCCACTCTTCCAAGGGAAAAGTGAGTCCTTAATGTTTTCCCAGCCTTCCTCACTATCAGACTGAACCTTTTCTTGGATGCAGAAGAGCAGAAAGTAAAGCAGTTTTAGTGGTTTGTGAACTTGGAGCAGCTCTGAGGGCTCAGAGGTATCTCTCATTCCTAAAAGAAACAAGCAGCTTGTTAGAAGAAATACACAAACCTGTTTCTGTTATGAAAAACTACCTCCTGTAAAGCATCTCATAATTACCTACTTGTTCTCTCTTGTACAGTGTCCAAGGGGACCAGAGAGCCTTTCCTCTGTAGTAAACACTTTACTTTTTCATTTATTGATGTTTTCTTGCTTGACATTTCACTAGGTTGCAGTGCACCTGGGTGAGGTTTAGGGATCAGTGCTATGCATATAGTAGGACTCTGCTCTTTGCCAGTGCTCTGAGTTTTTTGCTTTTTTAATCCTGCTGCAGGCAAGGCCCCCTTGAGGGACATGCCAGGTGTGTTACCTGCCTCTGCTCAGGCTGTCACCGAACTGTCCCCTGGCTGTGTCCCCCCGTGGTTGTGTCCAGGTGCTGCTGTGACCTGCAGCCACCACCCCCTGCTTGGCCACCCTGCCACTACCTTGTAGCCAGGCTTGGCACCAGGAGCCCTGCCTGTAACAGAAATAGCTTCTGCAGCCCTGTTTTCTATTTTTACTCTGAATCACTCCTTAAAATGTCAGCACTCTTCTGCATTCCTGGGCTGGTCACTGCCCTGGCTGAGTGAGTTTCAGGGATGTGGTGCTTTGTATGTTTTAGTGACTGGCTTGGAGTCATTAACGCTCCTAATGCGGAGGAGGAGCACTGCCCTCCCAAATCCCTCCTCACCTGAGAGCACAGCAGGACACAGTCCCTGCCTACCTGCCCAGTACAGCAACACCCCGGGGCCGGTGTTAGACAACGCTGATGCTTTTGTTCAGGGTAATTACGTGCCCGAGAAAACAACAAAAGGTTTTATTTGTACCACACCCACCAATTACTGCCTGCTGTAAGAGCTAGGACAGTTCCCTGGCTGCAGTCAGTCACTTTGCTTTTTGCAGTTCAATTACCACAGGGCACCCCTGAGCTCTCAGTTTGGGTAATACTTGCTTTGAAGTTAAATTAAACACTTAGGATTGCAGAGGGAAGAGTCCATCTCCAGGTACACTTACGTGTTTCCAGATCTCTCCAGTCCTCTCAATGACAATGGTTTGTGATTTATTGACAGGTGACGTGACCTTGTAGTCATCAGACAGCAGACCCAGAATAGGATACTGATTCCTGTACCTGTAGAGAGTTGAAGAGGTTGCTAAACAGAGCCTAAACAAAGAAAAGCCCAAAGGATGTGTTTTTAAAAAAGATGAATAAGACATTACTTTTTAGTGATGATGGCTGTCACCCCAGGGGACTGACTGCCTGATAACTTCTCTTGCTTCAGTCTGAAGAGTTCCTGAAAAAACCAAAAGCAAACATTGATGTGAAGTCATGTTTTCTGAAGTATCAGTTCACTAAAGCCACAACAAAATATTTGCAGAAATTTGTCTCAACAGTCTGAAAATCTGCCCTTTCAGAAGGCTGGCAGAGGAATGGCATTCAGTTAGAACAAATCCTAACCCCCTTTCCTGAGCCAGGAGAGGACAAGGGACTTCCTGGTAAGGTTCCACCTACACAGTACATGGAGGCTTAAACACCAAAACGCTTAGAAAAGAAAGAACTTGTATTATTTTACCTCTTGCTGTTGTTTAATAAAAGCCTCTTTGTCCTCCAGCAGTGATGTCAGTTCATGCAGCCTCATTTGCAAGTCGCTGTTGCTCCCGTCTCTCCTGGTTATGTCCTGCTGGAACTGGCACAGCTGGGACTGCAGAACAAGGCAGGAGCTCTCAGGTGTGGGGGGCTCTGGGCCCCTCAGCACCCACCCAGGGCTCCAGGGGTGGCATTTCATTAACACCATCAACAGTGAGACCCAGGGATTTTCAGGTCAGGACGTTGAGCCACACAGTAAATTCAGAAAGTGCTAATTGGACTGAATTTTACCCAGTATTAATTCAATGCTTTTACAATTCTCACACTAAACCACCACTGAACCAGTTGAATTGGCGACTTTTGCCACTGCTTTCCATGAGAGACATTTCCTAAATACAGCTGTGACTGGGATTTATTTTTGTTTCCTATTAAGCATATTTTGACTAATTACTTATATTATCAAGACACACAAAATATCCCTTTAAGACAGCCTACTAATCAGGTTGATCCCTAATTTCTTCATGTAAAGAATGGTTGGGTTTTTTTAAAATCAGAGTTTTATGTTCTACTATAAAAGTTTTACACCATCAGCGGTGTCTATGAGTAAAGAACTGCACAAGCAGAAGACACCCAAGAAGTACCTGTGGTAGATCTCTGCTGCTGTGAGTGCAGGAGCAGCTGTCCCTGCACACAGCCAGCAGAGCCCCTTACCCTGAGGCTGCGGATCTCCCTGTCCTTGTCCTCCCTCAGGCTGTTGATCATCTCCACGTAGCGGCTGGAGAGCTCATCTGTCGTGGTCTGCAGGGTCGGGCTGGAGCAGCTCTGCAGCACAGAATCCAGTTTGATTTACAGAGTTGTCATTGTTAAGTTTTCCTACACTGATCCCTCCGAGTCTGGGGCTACTGCACCTCACCTGCAGCTTGAGGCTCTGGATCTCCTGCTCCAGGGCCCTCTTGCTGTACTCCAGCTCCTTCAGCTGGCAGTCCTTGTTGCCCTCGCTGAGCCGCAGGGACAGGAGCTGTTCCTCCAGGGAGCGGCATCTGGCAGTGCTGTCCCTGAGCCCTTGCTGGAAAGCACAGGGAATGAGCACATGGAATTCCTCAGGGGAGGAACAGCATCACACACACAACAGGCAGCAGTTGCTCAGAGTACCCACAAGTCAGCAAATTGCCCCCATGTTGGTTGCCTGGAATGACACTGGAAATGTTTCGTGATTCACCTGCTGCTGGCGATTGTTCTCCCTCAGAGAAGCCAGCATTGTTTCATACTCTTTCACTTGGGAATCCTTAAAAGCCAAATCCTTCTTCAGCAAGACATTGTCAGTTTCCAGTTTCTGCAGGACAAAAGTCAAAAGTTTACAGTCAAAAGCTGAAAGTTTTCAGTAAATTCTTCCCATAAAATGCAGCATAGTCATTAATATAGGGATGTTTTAGAACTGAGAAAATTATCAACTTTCTTCAAAGTCTGGGGTTTAGGTACATAGCACACACTGTGGCTTTGTGTTGGGTGGTGAGCACTGGGATCCTGGACACTGCCCTTCCAGTCTGCCCCAGAAACATTTTAAATAGAAGCCAACAAAAAAACCCAAATAAACACCATCCCAAAACTAAGCCCACTGCACACACTCCTTGCTCTGTGCTCAAGTTCAAACTCTTCTCCCTGAACTTTGCATTTTCCAGGACAATGCTGTGACATTCCCAGCAGTGCCGAGCACTTGGGCTGGTGTGGGGAACAACAGGAATTGTCTGCTGCCGACATCCACAGCCACAGGGCTGGGCTGGCTGAAGGCCAGAGAACCCGTGGAGCTGCCAGAGCCACCCGTGTCCATCCAGCCCCCTGAGGCACTGCCAGAGCCAGGAATGCCAGCCCTGGGCTCCTGCTGCCAGCTGGGAGCAGCGGGATGAGCAGCAGGACTCACCCCCAGGTCATCCTGCAAATGGCAGAGCTCCTCCCGCAGGTTCTTGAAGGTGGACAGCACCAGTCTCAGGGATTTGTCCGATGTCGCTCTCATCTGGGAGGGGAGAAATGAAAAGGATAATTGGGATTAATTAGGCAGCTTTGTTTACAGTATGCCTGACCAGAGGTAGAACAGAAACTGCTTTACAGGTGACAGTAACTTCTAAAACCATTGCACGTCCTTTGAAGTGCCCACAGTTTCTACAGGAAACGTTTCCACTGCACTTTGTTCTGCAAATGCCAGCGTTCCATTTCTGCCTTGTAACACAGGACAACATTGTTAAAATGGAAGGAACAACGGGGTAAGGAACTGCCTTTGTACACCAATAAAGGAAAAAATAAATGTGTTAATATTGTACAATTATTATTGGAGCTTTAAAAGCTTTGTGCTTACATTGATTTTGAAAAATTACTGCCCTGCCTGAAAAGGCACAGAGGAATGACTCATGTTTGAGATCTGGCAAAGCTTTGGGCTCAAGGATGAGGGAATTTAATTAACATTTTTAAAAATTCAAATGAAAAAAGCTCATACAGCCAACTCCTCCCTTTAAAAGGAAAAAGATCCCAAAGATGAAAGGAGTCACCTGGATGAAAGAGAAAACTATTAAGTGACCACAGCCCAACACTGTTCTCCTTTGGAATGTTAATTTTAATGCCTTTAATAGCTGTGTATTGATTCAGGTGAAAATATAAATTGTTGCATTTCATGATACATTTATAACATTTAAAAGAAGAAAAATAGACTTTGAAAGGACACACAAAATAACTCCTCAAGTTGTAACACTCTTGGAAGGGCTGAATATTCTGTGTAAAACTGTGTTTTTTTTCCTGTCCAGATTAAAGTGAAACCCCCCCGTGTGTTCCCTTAATTTGGAGATCTTATGCCTTCTATCTATATGGGGATTGGGCCTTGCCCAGTTTTTTTATCCCCAGTGGTGCCATGGTGTGTCTTCATTCCTAGAGTAACTCACCTTTTTTTGTTTTGTAATTAAAGTGGAATTTCACTTTTGCCTTATGGTTTTGTTGGTTTTATTGTGTAATACACTATAGGGTAGTTTGAAAGAAGGAATTGAGTTAAATGGTGAAATTTAAACTATAAAAATGTAAGTAAAACCACACTCAGCAATTGCTTAGTGCTAGAGGTTGCTAAATCCCAGAGGTGCCATGTGCTTCTCCAGTGGAATTCCCTGTGTCCTTGGAGGAGCCTGTGGGCATTCCCAGCTCGGGATCCTGGGCTGTGCAAACCCTTCCCTCCCAGCTCTGTCCTGGTGGCCAGGGGCTCTGAGAGCACCCTGGGTGGATCCTGACAACACCTGCTTCCCCAAAAGCCATTCTGGCTGCATTTTCCAGTCACAGCTGGGAGGGTGTAAAACCAGCTGGACACAGAGACAACAGGAAATGCCTGTTCAGCTTTTTCACCTGGAGCTGAACCTCCTCAAACTGGCTGGAATGTCCATGGGGTTGATGTCCATCTTCCTTGTCAGAGAAGCACAAAATAATTCCAGTTGGAGGGGATGGGGGAGGTCAGATCAGGGCAGCTGCAAACTCAGACCAGGCTGCTCCTTCTCAACTTCATTTCAATGCATTTTTTTTTTTACCAGGAAGCAATTCCAAGGTGCAGCTCCCAGGTAGGATCACCCTGCCCCTACCTGAGGGAGCCCAGATCAGGACACTCCTGCTGAGGCTGCCCTGACACATCTGCCTGGCAAAGTCAGCTCTGAGGGCTGAGCTGTGCTTTTGGCATCCAGCAGCAAACGCAACCATTCCTGTTGTGGTTCAGGTGTAAAGGGTTTTGTCCTCCTGGGCTGGTTCTTCAGCTCCCTTCCTCCCTCCTCCATGCCCAGCCACGGGGTTGGGCTGGGGGCAGGTGGGATTCTGGCTCTGCTTCTGGGTTTTTAGCACCTCCTATTTGTGTTTGGTTTTAAAGTCCTAATACACAACACAGAAAGATAAAAGGTCTGTTCTCCTGTCAGTGTTCAAAAGCCAAGACAGTTTCCAGTGAAACTGCAGGAAAACCCCAGCAGAGCTCAGTTTAAAACACTCAGCTGGACTGTGGGTCCATGTGACACTTCCTTTGAAGGCACCATTCCATCCCCCTCACTCTAGAAAGAATGGGATGAGGGAATACAGAGTGAAGGTGCCATGTATACATAGTTGTATACACACTCCTGTGTATGAGCCTGCTCCTACAGGCTGCCAAGCTCCCATACCTGCAGGAGATAACGAATCTGCTGCTTTGTTGCCTCAGACAGTCCTTTGGGAATTAATTCTTCAATATCTTCAGTCTAAGCAAAGAAGGGAGGAAAAGGGAGACATCTTGATTAAGAATTTTGCCTGGTAGATTAGTAATGTGGTTTCTTCATTAATTACACAGCTCTGCTATGAAAAACATCCTTAGCACAAGGCAAATAAGAACAAAAATAGATCAAAGTCTATCTAGAAAACTTCTGAAGTCTTTTATATGTGGGGCATGTACAAAGTGAGATAAAGTGATACATGAAGCATATATTCAAATCCTTAAATTCAACATTTAAAAGGAGTATTTAAACCAATCCTCTCTCAGGGATTAACAGCTGATGCTACAACTCAGTTTATGGTGGGGCAAAACCTCGTGTTTCTGAGTGGGCTGCCAGTAAACCCCAGATGACCACCAGGAGATGCTGCCAGGGTTCAGTGGCATTTGCTCCCTGCAGGTGAACCCTGGACAGGTATTTCTGCCCCATTCACCATTTGAATGCCTTCAAAGGTGCAGCACCTGCTGCTCAGCAGCAGCTTCACTGGCCAGGGAGTGAAAGAGCCTTTGCAAAAAACACATTGTAAAAATACAGGTACCTGTGCAAGTCATTTTCCAGTGAAACCATTATTGGAACAGCAGGAGAGACTTCCAAAATTTGACTCTCATACTGGAATAATCCAATTTCTGACGTTTCCTTTCAGTATTATCACATTTGCAAATGCCTGCCTGGCAGCAGTTTTCGGGCTCTGAATGTTTTTACAAGCAGGAAGCATTAACTAACAAAGACCAGCCTCCTTCATTTCAACTGCTTTGGCTTTATTTGCTTGAACCCTCCCCCAGAGGTGTCAGGGCACAGCCTGAGCCTTACCTGGCACGTGAATTCAATGTCGTGGTTCCTGTAAAACACAAAAAGCTGTTTGAGAACTTCCAGGATTCAGGCATATTCGCCACTAAAAGATTATCTGGACAATACAGAGCAAGGATCTTTCCTCCTGTGGAGGAACTCCTGGGGAGAGTGGAGTCCTACAGCAACACAAACACAGGCTGACTATCCCCAGTCCTTTGGGCACTCATCCCAATTATGGGCAGTTAACCCAATTACTCCCTTAATTACCTGGGTAATGGTTCGCCCACAACTCTGCTGCAATTCCCTGCCCTGCCCCAAGTGTTGATTCGGCATTCTCAGGGTTTCTGTGATGGTTCAGTTCCTTTTTTCCCCTGCCACAGGACCACTTTCCTTATTCGGTGACCTTGGAAGGCACCAGACAGGATGGGGAGTGAGGGGAAGAATGAGGGTGATGGGAGGGAAGGGGGGAAGGTTGTGCACGGCACTGCCTGCTGCGACTCTAATTTCTTTCCACAGATGGAATGCAGGGCTCTGCAGAAAATATGCTTAATGTTCATTTGGATGTAGAGACTGAGCTTTATGCCTTTAATCCATGACACAACATCACAACAGCACTGAGGAAATTTGGATGTTTGGATTCTTTCTTCAGGACACAGCAATAGAATTGTGTCATGAGATATATGTCAGAGCGTGCTGTAAGCTCTTGTTTGCTCAATATACAAACACATGTGGGAGGCACAATTCGTAAGCATCACAGGCAATAAATTTCTTTGGCTTACAGCATTTCTATGTCCTCAGTTATTTGCAAATCAGTTGAATTTGCAAAACATCCAGACAATTCCAAGTGTCAGGAAGAAACAACCAATTCACAAACAACACTGTCCCAGTCAGCTGTGCAGTGCTGGTATCTGGGACATGGCAATGGCAGATCCAGTGGCAATACCTTGTCCCAATCTTCTCCACGTGCTGCAGCAGGCAGCTGTACAGGTCATTGCTCTTGCGGTGCAGCTCGGCCAGCAGCTCCCCAAAGAAGCGACAGTCCAGCTGCTCGGGGCTGTCCTGGGGGCAGCTCACCTGCCAGGAGACAGGCAGGGCATCAGAACACATCCCTTCTTTGGGATGAAAGCTGAACATGAAAATGCTATAGGTAGGATTTGGGTCTGGCTGCTCTTAGCAATTTTCAATTTATTTACACTTAATAGTGAGTCTTCCATGTCTGCTGGTTTTCAATAAACTGTACAGAGAGGAATGACTTCCTTTAGAACAACAAGAACCAGGCCAAGTCCTGCTCCCACAGCAGTGTGCTCAGCCCAAGCTCAGTGTGCTGAGCTGGCTGATGGGAGTGCCCAGCTCTGGAAGGTTCTGCACAGGTCTGACTGAGGTCCCCAGGGTGTTTGTCACCCAAACACTGACTGGGTGCACAGGAGGGACCTGCTGCACTCCCTCCCCAGCCACACTAACAGGCTGCAGGTACACCAGGAAGCTCCCTTCGTGCTTCCACTGAATTTGTGTCAACAACTTTTGCATCAAATTGAAATACATTTGAAGCCCTGGCTGATCAGCATAGGAGGGAAGGAACCCTGAGCTGATGTTATAAAGCAATGTGTGTTTCCTCCCAAAGCAGAGGCTGTACAAATCTCAGTCTTTGTGTACAGACTGACAGGTGAAACCCGCCTGAATTGATGAGTAGAGAAAATCAAAACCAAACAGCCCCGTGAGCCTGAGCCCAGTTAAACACCGCGGGCTCATCTCAGTCAGCGCACACCTGAGCACAGGTCTGTGACAACAGAAACACAACTCTCAAACAGCCTTCCCCCCCAACAGCACGTGAGAAAGCCTCGGACAGCCCCAGACAGACACACAGACCCTGCTCAGCGACAAGGGCGCGGTGCTGAGAGTCCACACAAACCTCTGGAGGCTGCAGAGCCATAAACCGCTCATTCCCGCAGTTTATCCCCAGTGGTGCCTAAGAACAAACCGAGAACAAGCAGCGGAGCCCTCACCAGCTCGGGGGGCGCCGTGCCCCTCCTCACGGGGTGTCCCCGGCACTCGTCGGTCCCCGGGCCCGGGCACAGCTCGCAGGGACTGCCCGTCTGTGTCTGCTGGCACTGCTGCGTGACCGGGAGCGGCGGGCACTGCTGGCACGGCTCCGGCGGGCACACCTGGAACTGCCGCTCCTGCCACCGAAAGGACTGTTAGTGCTGGGCCTGCAGGGATGGGAAAGGCCCTGCTGGGGCAGAAAGGGTTAATGCTGGGCACAGCAGGGATGGGAAATGCCCTGCTGGGGCAGAAAGGGTTAATGCTGGGCACAGCAGGGATGGGAAATGCCCTGCTGGGGCAGAAAGGGTTAATGCTGGGCCTGCAGGGATGGGAAATGCCCTGCTGGGGCAGAAAGGGTTAATGCTGGGCACTGCAGGGATGGGAAAGGCCCTGCTGGGGCAGAAAGGGTTAATGCTGGGCACTGCAGCGATGGGAAATGCCCTGCTGGGGCAGAAAGGGTTAATGCTGGGCACATGGGAAATGCCCTGCTGGGGCAGAAAGGGTTAATGCTGGGCACTGCACCAACCTCAACAGTGAATAAAATCTGCCTGTGACTGGCAGTGCTGGTGGTGGTTTTGGATGTTTTAATAATCCAAATTAAATTGCTTTCATACCTAACTGAACGTGAGTTTGCCTCACACTTTCCTACTCCAGGGCTGCAATTCACCAATTTTCCTTCCAATTTTAGTAGCTGCCAGGGAGAAGCACAAGCAAAAACCCTTTCCCAAGGTGGATGTCCCACTACACATGAAAATTTCCTTTAGGACTATGCTCCTGATTTGACCTAATCTAAACATAGCCCAGGTAAAAAAAAATCGTAAGTAAAACTATGATTTCTAGGGCTAAACTCCACAATTTTTTATTCTTTTCATTGCACATCATCTGCAGAAAGACAGAAGCTGTTATTTGTAATTACGGTTTTTTTCTTTTCCACTTCAGAGACTGGATATCACAGAATTCAGCTGTCTAAAATCCAGAGAGCCATGAAAAGTTTCTTTTTAAAAAACTAAGTAAAAAACCTCAGGTAAATCACTCTGAGATATGCTAAATTTCAATACTTTTTCCCTGTTGGAAATGTTTCAGAGCAATAAAATGGAGCGATATTTTTGCTACTGATAAAACAACAATTGAGAGATAAAATTTCAGACAGGTTTGCCAAATATATTTTTTTCAAGAGTTAGCAAAAAAAATTTAATTTTTAATATTTTTTTCTAAAAATGTATCTTGTTGCTCTGTTATGAAGCTATTGCAAGAAACTGATTCACAGCTACTATTCACATATAGACTAACAGTATTAGAGATACAACAGCAGTTTTCATTGTTAGTTAATAATAAATTCTTTGGAAAAATATGGCAAATATTCCACCTTCTGCTCTCCTTAAATATTGCTTCATTTACTTTGAGAATGTCTCCTAGATCACAACAAGGCAGTTCTCAGGTTGGCAGCTACACCTAACTAAAATAAGAAAAAAATCCAGAACCAACCCAACCCAGACACATCAATTTCCTGCTACCAACTCAATTTTCTTCCTTATATATAGATAATATAAACACCCAACTTACTTGGAGGGGATTTAATAGCTCATATTTTCTTATTGTTTTTTCATAGATGACATTATTTCCAGGAGAGAAACTTGCCCCTCTAAGAAAAGGGGATAATGGCTCCTGTAAAACACACAAACAAAAACATCCATAAATCTTGTCAAAGAGCAAGCTCAGGATCAGTGTAATTCTGACTAAAAATAGATAATTTAAAGATATGTGAGATGTCCTTTAAGATGTGAATGAGTGTGTGTTCATTTGGAAACAAAGTGGTTGTGCTTGGACAGGGACTATGTGAAATAAATACAGTAGAAACAGTTAATAATTAATCGATATTAATAAAGACTTAAATGCTGAGAGGTGGGAGCCTGAGTGGCCAGTCTGCAGTGTTTCCAATCCCTCAGAATTGCATCTCTCAGCCTCAGAGGTGTGAGCTGTGTGCTCAGAGTTTATCATCCCCTGTGGAGGAGCTGAGGGAAGTCCAGCACAGTTTCCCTACCTGATCCGGGTTCTCGATAATGATCCTGCGGATGGTGCCCTGCAAGGAAGGAAAAAGGTTCAGAGATTACTGCACCTCAATCTCTAACAGCTTTTCTGGCAGAGGAATCTGATTATGGACATTGGCTATAAATACTTTGGGATCCACTGGCCACAATCACCTGGAGATGTTTTAAACCCAGAGCCTTCACCCCAAAGGAACTGGTCCATGTGCAGCAAGACAAGGCACAATCCTTCACTGCATTTTAACAGCTGGGCTTTTCTCAATCCCCTCTTTGCTGGTCTGAGGGAATTAGTCCATATTTTCTGTAAGTGCAGCAGAACAGGCTACAAATCAAAGCTGGATGAGGTTTCTTGAGTCCCATGTCCCAGTCTATCTCTTTTATTTTCAGTTTTTTCATGTTACACGTCAAACTCAGCTGGTGTAGATGGAGATGCATAATATTCTTTTTGTTTCACCAAGGCATGAAAATTGGGATTTTGCTTAAACTCAGAAGTGAACAGGTAGAGGAGCTGCCCAACAACCCCCTGGGTCACACCCAGTGCATACAGCTCCACAGCTGCCACCTCTGGGAATGATGCCCACGTGGAGCATCTGCACATTCCTGGATGAAAAATGAGATGTGCCTCTTTAAATTACAAGAATCTGTCCCTGGCAGCAGCTTTGTTTTCAAATAGATTTCTTCAGGTTTTGCCCCAGCACTATCTAGAAGCAATTGCAGACACTGTCCTCCCCAGTTCTAACAAATCACACGTTGCTTCAACCCTTCACATCCAGGTCTTGACCCAAACAAGCAGAGCTCCCACTGAACCCAGTCTAAGGACTGGGCAATTTGTCAGTTTGCAGCATACTGTTTATCCTCCCTCACAGCACAAACCTCCAATTTTCATAATGAATCATTTCTTCCCCAAAGCCAGGGGGAAGTTTATGTTGCTGCAGTTCAGTCTCAGACACATTCTCAGCCAGGTGAGAGCAGCTCTCAAGTAGGTCAGGTTTCCTATCAACTGTTGCATAAGTTTAGGAAGCCTGGAGCAGTTTTCCAAACCTCTCAAGAGTGAATCATAACAGCAGCAGGAAAGAGAAACAAAAGTAGAAAAGAAACTGTTTTTGCAGCAGAGTAATTAAGAAATTTCAAAATTAAAGGAGTTGCAGAAACTTGGGGAGCTGCTCAGCACAGCTGCCACCCCATGGGCCAGCAGGACTCTGGGGACACAAACAGAGAGGTGGAACATGCAGCCCAATCCTTCACACCAACACCTGCAGAACTGCAGCTAAAAGTGAAACACTCAGCACAGGAATGGCCACTGTCCTTCCTGCAGCCCGGTCTCAGAGCAGGCACAGCCTGAGCCCGGTGTCCACGAGGAGCACAGGAGCTGTGACACTGGAGAGCCGTGGGACAGCAGGGACGGCTTCATCCCAGCATGGGGACAACACACGGCCATTGTGTGACACTGAACAGCAGCCCTGGAATTCACTGAAAGGTGGCACAAACGTGCCAGGATTAACTCAAAGTCTGGAGAGGATAACTACCCAGGGTGTCTCAGAGGAATAAACCCAGAGCAGAGGAGTCTGGAGCATTTTAAGTTGAAACAGACCTTTATAATATTCTCATTGTATATGCAATATTATACAGAACCTAAGAATGTTTTGCCTGGATAAAATTATGCTTATTTTTGAGATACCCAAACTCTTTCATTTTCAAAGAACTGCTTTACAAACAGAGATTTGCCTGCCCTTTCTCCTATTCCAGCCAAGCAGGCTGGACTGGCACAGGCTGGGAGGGGACCAAGAGGCTGTGTCTGTGCCAGCCTGGAGTGCCCACACACAGCTCAGGGCTCTGCACAAGGAGGTGCCACCTCCAAGGCCTCTGGAGCTGTCCCCCAGCACTGGGGACACTGCCATGGAAAGGTGTCTCGGGCTGTTTCTGTTTTCCAGCATTCCCGAGGGGCACAGCTCAGGCAGTTCAGAAGTGTCTGGAGATGCAGCATTTTCTAGCGGGGAGAAGGAAGGGGAAGGTGGGATTCCAAAGGGAAAGCCCAGTGCTGTTGTGGGTTTGGAATTCAGGACAGCCTGACCAGTCAGTCTGGGTCTGTTTTACAGGGTCACAGATTGGTTTGGGTTGGAAGGGACTTTAAAGTTCTTCCCGTTCCAACCTCCGGCCATGAGGCTTATAAGGACAATTTTAAAAGGTAACACTAAAACTTCCATTAATATTTTTGCAAGTCTTTAAGATTTCTAAATAAGATATTTTAATTTTAGAATAAACATTTGATAGATTTACCCTTAGTGTGCCAATTTTATGTAGAAGCAATCAAATGTCCTCTTTTTTAATTTAAATTTCAACAGGTAACCCTTGGCTTCAGCCAACCCAGAGATGAAAGTGAAAATTTCATCTATGTCAAAAGCCTTTACCCACAACACATTGTCTGTCTAATTACAAGCAATCCAGTCATCTGCTCATAATTTATGAGTTGCAGTTGGCAGGTGAAATGGGGAAATGGCAGGCTGTGTTTGAGGCTGTTACAACACAGACCAACCCTAAAGCTGGTTAATATTACACCATTTTCATGGGAGCCCTTTGCACGTCACAGAACTGAGCCCAGCCACACAAACACCTGACTCCCAGAATTTCTCACATGGACAGAGAACCTCTACAAAGCCTGTCAGGGTTTTGCCCTCTGCAAACATTTTGTATGTGCCACTTCAAAAATTATCTTTTCATGACCATGGAGAGCAAAATTTGCTGTGAATTGCTCCAAGGACAAAACATACCATGAAAGTAAAAAAACCCTGAATCCTGAACCACAAAAAATACCAGCACATGTGCTCTGTGCACACAGCAATTTCAAATTCTCCCTCTCTCCAGCTTATTAAAAGTGTACATAAACACAGGAGCACACCCCAGCCACATGACTGAAGACTGTATCAACAGGGATGTACCTGTCTGTTATTGTTAACCCCCACAAGCTCTGCAGAAGCAAATTAAATATTCTTTAAAACAGCCCTTTGCTTTAGCAGCAGTACAGAGCTGAAGCTTCAGCTTTGGGCTGCCACTAACCCCAAATTCTCCTGTTAGAACAAACACAATGGGAGTTTGGTATGGGTCCATTACTCACTTTATGTGGCCCTACCCAATGGGCTCAAAGGGCAACTGATCCACTCTTCGGGAATGTCCTACACCCCTCCCAGGGCTTCTCCCATTCAGCACCAAGTGTGCCACTTCTGCCTCCTCCCAGCTGACTTCCCTGTTTGGTACTGTTTTCTGCTTTAATAACTTCCTAATAATCTGTATTAGGCGCCTTCCTTCTCCACCACTGAAACTGCAACCCACACAAAGCCTGACTGAGCTACACCCTCTTGTCTTTAAAGTCCCGTCCAGCAAAACACTTCAGCAAGAAATTCGTTTTCATCAGCAGGACATAATGGATTCAGTGACTACAACAGATGCTGAAAATTAAACATCCTCCATAAAGCAGCGACAGCATTTGAGTCTGTAATCCTTGTTCACGTACTTATCTAGGCAGAGGAAGCCTGGGACTGCAATGTTTATGCCCATGAATATTTAATTAATTAACTGCAATTCAGACTATCATCCAGCCTAGCTGAGCAGATCACTTATCTGGAGGTGAGACCTGTGTTTACACTCCTGCCCTACATCTTGCAAAAGCAGATTAACAACCTGGACACAGAGGGAATGGCTCTGCCATTACCAACTCCTACAAAGCCTTATGATCACAGACTCGTTCAGGCTGGAAAAACTCACCAAGATCATCGAGTCCAGCCATTCCCCAGCACGGCCAAGGCCACCACTCAACCATGTCCTCGAGTGCCACAGCCACACATTTCTGAACCCTTCCAGGGATGGTGAGTCCACCAGTTCCCTGGGCAGTCTATTCCAATGTTTAACCATCTATTCCATGAAGAATTTTTTTCTAATATCCAACCTAATCCTCTGCTAGCACAACTTGAGGTTGTTTCCTCTTGTCCTTATATTAGTGCAGCTGCTCACTCGCTTCCTAGGATTTACATAAACCATCCTGGAGAGGAGGGCAGCCCTCAAACTATGCAAATATTGCTTTGAAAGGAATGCAGATCTTGTATTGGTTTTAATCCAGACTCTTTTTGATAGGTAAATATAACAAGAGACAGAAAATTCAGTAAGAGTTCATCTTGAAGCAAATGTACATTGACATTTGAGTACAGCAGAGCAATCCTATCGATGTTAATGGCATTCTGTTGTATGAATAAAAATTGGCTTGAGAATAAATTTTGATCTCCATTCTGCTTTATCAGTTAAATATGTTCTCAAGCTATTGGTTTCTAGTTTTAATATACCATTTGTATGTGTTAAAATGACAATAAATTCCACCGATACTTTCAAGCCATGCCTTGGATGCACACACAACCAACCTGCTGAACTGCATTGTGAGGGCTTTCCAAGCCCAGCTCCAACACCTGAGTCGCGGACCTTATTAAGCACCATCGATGCAAAGAGCACTAATAAGCACACAGGCTTCGTGTTCCATTTGCATGGGCAGCCCCAAGGCAGCAGAGCCGCGCGGTGACATCCCGGCGTGGGAAGGGAGCGGTGGCACCGGGGCTGGGCCGTGCCAGAACCGGCGAAAACCGCGTGGAAAGGGTGGGAAAGGGAGACACCGGGGCCAGTGACCGCATCCGTGCCCGGGGACAGCGCGGAGCGGCTTTTCCACAGCGGGAAATGCGCGGGGCGAGCGGAGGGGCCGGGCTGGACCCGTCCGACCCCCGGGGGAGCCCGGCCCGAGGAGACCCTCTGGACCCGTCCGACCCCTGGAGGAACCGGCCTGAGGAGACCCTCGGGACCCGTCCCACCCCCGGGGAACCCGGCCTGAGGAGACCCTCGGGACCCGTCCGACCCCTGGAGGAACCCGGCCTGAGGAGACCCTCTGCCCGCCGGGCGCACCCGCAGCTCCCGGGTCCGGCTTCGACGGCCCCCCACCCCGGGAGGGAGCCGGGTCCCGGGCCGGGAGCAGCCACCGCGGGGCCGGGAGCCGGGGCCGAGGGCAGCCCTCTCATCCCGGGCGGGAGTTGGGGCTGGGGCCGGGGGCAGCCCCCGCGGGGTCGGACCGGGACCGGGGTCGGGCCGGGCCGTGCCGCCGTACCTGTGGCGGGTCGCAGCCGTGCCCGCAGTCCAGCGGCGAGGCGGCCCGGGAGGAGCAGGAGGTGCTGACCCGGCGGCAGCCCGGCCCGTAGGTGCGCACCCGGTCGTAGGCCACGGCGCCGTCCTGCTGCTGGTGCGGAGCGGGGTCCAGGCAGGGCAGCGGCCGCGCCGGCTCCGGGCACGGCGGGGGCTCGGGGCAGGGCGGCGGCTCGGGGCAGGGCCGGCGGACGGGCAGGGTGCTGTAGTGCTGCTGCCGGCGGTAGTAGTGCTGCTGCTGGAGGTGCGGGGGCAGCGCGGGCGGCTGCGGCTGCTGCTGCGCCCCGAACATCGCGGCGGGACTGCGGCCGCGGCGGGGCCGGCCCGGCTTTACCTGCGCGGGCCGCGCCTTGGGCGGATCCGCACCTGCGGGCGGGGAGCCCGGCCCGGCCCCGCCCCGGCACCGACACCGGCACCGGCACCGGCCCGGAGCGGTACCGCGGCGGCTCCCGGTACAGCACCGCAGCCAGCATCACCCAGCCCCGCGCTGTTCAGCAAAGCGCTTTGCTGCTGTTCTCCTCGCAACATCTAAACCCGTACTTACCTTCTGCGCAAATGAACTTAAATGTGCTTTTCACGGGAGGTTATGAACTTGGGCACAGAGCCTTTCCCACCCGCGGGAGCCGCGGTGGCCTTTGGCGGCTCGCAGGAGGAAAGGAGCCCGTTCTGTACCTGCATCCCTGCTCTGGGCTGCCCTCAGTGAGCTGAGCGTCCCAGCATGGTCTGGGTTGAAATGCACCTCAAAGCCCAACCAGTTCCATCCCCTGCCATGGGCAGGGACACTTACTACTGTCCCAGGTTGCTCCAAGCCCCATCCAACCTGGCCTTGGACACTTCCAGGGATGGAAAAACCATAGCAGCTCTGGGCAACCTCTGCCAGGGCCTCACCACCCTCAAAGGGAAGGATTTTTCCCATTATCCCATCTAATCCCACCCTCTGCCAGTTGGAAGCCATTCCCCCTTGTCCTGTCATTCCCAGCTCTCAACATTATGTATGAAATATCTCACAGTTCTGATCTAGAAAGGATGGAGTTTGTTATTCAAATCTCAGTTTGCAGAGAAGAATGTGAACTTGGTTTCTCAATCCAGCATATTTTGAGTTGGATTCCTCTGGCAGCGTCAGGCAAGCCCTAACTGAGAACATAACTTTGTTCTGCAAGGTCATGTAGCAATAACATAATTGTAGAATCCTGTGTAATGAATATTCTTCTTAATGATAAACCTGAAATTCTTAATTTTGTCAGTTTGTTTCCCCTACATGCCTACTGTGCTGTAAGACCACATGGTACAGTCAGTCACAAAGAATAAAAACTAATTTCTGAAGTGCCATGTTAGGGCAAAACACCTCTGAGGGGATGGAGCAATACCTTCTGCTCTGGCCCCTCACCAAAAGCTCTGTCTCTAAAATTAAAAAGTGTTCACCAAATCTGCTCAACAGGCTTTTGGAAAGGTATGGATTTTAGGGCGAGTGCTTGCAATGATCCAGTATTTTAAGGCACTGTGACATCTGGAGACATTCATCACATATAAAAATTTCCCTTTTCCTCCAGGCATTAAACCCAAACAGACACCCTGCTTTACATAGAAGTGTTTATAAAAAGCATTTCAGGTAAATTCTATCCCACTGGTTACAAAGGAACTAAATGCAAAGAAAATCTTGTCATAACACCTCATTCTTGCTTCACGAGCTTGGAAGAGCTGTTAGTTGCTTCTCACAAACAATTTTAAAAAGAGCATTTCTTGGAAAGTAGTAAAATATGATTAAAACAACCTGGTTTACACAGCCCATAAGAAAGTTTTTGTGCTTCAGTAGGAAACTACAGAAACTGCAGTAATACTCCTCAGGGGGAAAAAGGTGCTGTAATATAAAATGTGGAAACACTGTTGGTTTGCCAGCTCAGGAATGTTACCTGCATGCAGCACGTTGTCCTGCTTAATAAAGAAATTTCTACCAGGGTCAGCAGAAAGCAGGCCCCAAGTCATCCCGTTGTAATGGAAATAGGAACAGCTTCCGGAAGGCTTTGTAGATGTGGTGAGATTATTGGAGTCATAAATAACAACAGTAAGTAATACATGCATGGTGACCTGTACCAGGTAATGAAAAGAGCCTCAAACAAAGCTGCTGAATTTTAATGTGACCAAAATTCCATGTACATCCAAACCCTGAGATGGTGCTGCACTGTGGTGTGCAGGGTGTTACCTGCTATGGAATTCTGGCTGTGACAGCTGGGGCTAAAAGGAACAAAACTGCTTTGATATAAAATTGAAAAATTGTCCCTTGGGAATACCGCGATCAGGAACAGCGTTTACATCATTTATACTTACATTATTTATGGGGTTGGGAAGCTCTCTGAAGGACTGAGGCACAGAGGGTTAGGAAGCCTGGCAGGCAGCAGCACCCCATAAACAGCTTGAATGAGGCAGATAAAAATCTGCTTTCAGCTGGAGGAAGGCTTTAGAGCTGGAAGTGAAGGCAGAAGCAGCTGGTGAGCAGAGGCTTTGTTTGTGTGATCCTCCCTTTGAAGGCAGAGCCATGCTGCACCTGAGGGTTGGTGGAAGGTGCCAGTCTGCAGGGAGAGCTCAGTGCCCCCACTTTGTTCCTGTTCCCTCAGGGTCAGGCTGTGCTGGCGCTGGGGCAGCACCTGGTGGAGGGAATCACAGCAAGATGTCCCTGTCCTCCTTCCAAAGGCCGGGCCAGCCTGGCTGCAGCTGCACCAGCTGAAGCACCAGGGATTGCCACAAAGATGATGTGAGGCACTTTCAGAGAGGAGAGCAGATGTCTGACACTGGCTGTTCAAATCACAAGTACATCACAGCCCTGAAAACGGAGCTCTGTTCAGGAGTGTGTGTTTATAGCCAAACATACTCAGGATGTACTGGATGCAGGTGAGGCTTTGTGGCCGTGCCTGGCACCTGCAGGTTCTGCTCTCTGGAGCAGAGGGGATTTAGAGGAGCAGTAGGAGGTGAGAAACAGCAGATGAGCACTGAGCAAAGGGCTGGCTGGGGAACACCTCAGGAGTGTTGGAGTGTTGGCTCTGCAGCACCTGCAGCCCCATCTGCCACCTCTCCATGGCAATTTCAGGGTAGAGAATGCTGAGAGGAAGGATGGCAGCTTGGGTTTGGTGCTGCCTGACCCTCTGCCCTTGTGTTCAGGGCTCTGCAATGACAACATGCTCTACTTCTCACAAGAAAAAAATGACAAAACACATGAAATGAAATACCTTGAGTTGTTTTAAGACAGCACTCCAGCCCCACACCAGAGCAGCAGAGCCCATCATTCCCACTGTTCCATACAAGCATTTCTGTGTGCTCACCCACAATGACTTTATATCTACTGTATCATTTTATATTTCATTCAGAAATGTGTTTTAACAGGTGCCTTGTGATGCATAACTAGCAGGGTTGGATCTGAAATGCTTCTTCTGTGATTTCAGAATTATAATTCTCCTTTTATATTCAGTGGTAAGAAAATTCACTGAGCAGAGAGGGTTGAACAGAGTTTAGGGTATGGTTTAAAGACTCTCATTTACTTTGCTGGCACTAGCTCATGATCAGACCATAAAGAGTGAAGGAAAGCTCTCTTATCCCATTAATATGTCCCTTATAATAACTTGTGTTATCAGTTGTAGTTTATACACTTCAAAAGAAATGGAAATCCTCGGAATATGAAAAAAAAAAAATCTAGATTTTATAATTGCATTTATTGATTAGTATCTAGGATAATTTACAAAATTGTCAAGGAGCGTGCAAATACACTTCTACTTTTGCCATACCACCAGAGAGGAAAAATCATCTTTGTTTTAGAGTATAACAGCAGTACATAGAGTACCAAAACAGAATAAATGTTTTATAAGGACACTGGGTTTGTGATGGCTCTCAGTATTTTCAAAAGATTGTATTTCATGGTATGAAATGAAATAATTCAGTGCTGCACTTACCCTGAAGCAGAAGTCACTCCTTTGTTCTAATCATTTTCCTGTTTGAATTGTTGAGGTTATTTAACAGTCACTTTAATTTGTTTCAGATAATTAATACTATGCAGGAGATTGGTGACCAAGAAAAAAAAAACCCTAATGGAACAACTTTCCTTCTACCCATTAAAGACCTTATTCAGCCTGCTAAGGAGTAAATGCCTCAGCTGAATGAAACACTGCCAGTTATGCCAGTTATCATTTACCAACTATCAATTGCAAAAAAACCCTTCAGAATATAACATTGCATGATAAATACAACTTAGTAGAAAATGAAAAGATGATGCTAAACTTTATCCTGACGCTGCAGAAGTCCTGTGAGCCCCAGCAGTGAGATCTGTGTTATGCTGCCAGCTGTAATTTCCAGTTCAGGGATGCTGGAAGGGAACAGATAAAGGAAAGGGCCTGCAGACATGTGGAACACAGGGAGCAGCTGATCTGTGAGTTAAACACCCCTCAGCTCCACGCCAAGGAAAGATATTACATTCATTATGACCAAAGAGCAGGAAACCTGTTCAATTCCAAAGCAACAATTTGCATTTCCCTCTCCTGGACAGACTGAGAACAGTGCTCCTTATTAAAGGAGATAAAGGAGCTGTGCTTGTGGCACACTAAAATAAGTGTTGGTACCTTGGCGTTTTTGGGGAGAACAATACAGGGATGTGGGGGTTTATCTCTGCTGTTACTTGTAAATTGCTAAAAATGTGGTTTAGAAACAGCTGGTCTGTCTGTAAAGAGAATGTGAAATCATTAAGCAAGTAGGAGAGAAAAGTGTTTAGAATATAAAGCTATTAAAAGTGAGGGAGTAAGTTCTTAACATCCATAAATAAAATCAGCTATAGATTTTAGAGACTGTTTTTCTACCCAGCAATCTCTCAAGATAAAAGAATGCCTTAAGAGATACTTAATTTCTGGTGCATCATCATTTCCATTATTCAATTGCTATGAAATTTCTATGGCTGAGGATTAAGGGTGATGGGAATTTTAAATAACAAGTGTACTGAGCAGTTCTTTGGTCAATGTGTATCACAAGCATACAGAGAATAGAACAAAATATTTGAATATCTGAGGAATTTGGGCATGGAAACTGGAATAGGGATATTTTAACCTGCTTCTACTTCTTGACCATTAGTAACTACTTGATTTTAGTTACACATTACAATTGCTGCTGTTGTGGCAGCCAGAGGCTGACTGAAATGCCTTGTCCCACGCTGGGACCTACAGAGCTTCTCTTTCTACGTATTATTTGGCTCTATATAGTACATATTATAACATATATCTTCCTGTCATAGAATTTGGGGTTTTTTCCCATAGTTTCTCTCTCTTGGTGTGACATA